ATAACAAAATGAGCCAGACCCTGTATGAGCAAACACACAGAAGAATCAGGTCTAGGATCACCTCAGATGAGGTTTCATTGGAGATTCTCCCAGCTGAATCGCTGGACTCAGAGTGCCAATCATTTGGAGAACTGCAGGTTCCATGGTCTGACTGGAGTTCATGTGTCAGAACTGGGCCTCCTCAGTGGCTTAGACATAGCAGTGGACAGCCTCCAGATGCATGTGGAGGATATGGCAGCCCATTGGAGCCTGCATAGGACACCTGGTATCATAACAGAGACAGGAGGGCAGAGCAAATTCATCAACTACTCCATCCAAGCATTGACGGTGAATATCTTGGCAAATGGAGACTCTGAGGTGGACTATGTCAGCCAGTGGATCCTGGAAAGTTTTCATCATGCTTGGAGCGACAAAACTGACAGTGATTCAGAACTATCAAAAACGCTTGAGCAGGACCCTCCTAGCTTGTGCCACATCAGGACCCTGGAATGACATCAGGTGGCCATCCCCCATCTCAGGGTACGGGGTGCTTGTGAGGCTGGGTGCAACTTCTGCTGATATATCCAGCTTTCTCCCAGATAGCAAGACAACAAAAGACTGGAAACAATCATCTCACCCATTTTTGTCCAATTCTTAACCCTTCATATCCTAATCAACTATGTAAACATCATCAAAAGCAAAATTTAAAAAATTTAATGTATACAAGCAAAATTGCCATACTAGGATTTGGTTGTTCTTTGTAGCCCTGGATGTAATGCTGGTGAACACAGTCTTTCTACTTTTTACTTTGTTGAACACTTTATTTAGTGGAATATTAAGCCTTTGATTTTAAAGTAGCTTAAAAATATATCATTGCAAAAATTTCAAGTGTAATTAAAAGGATAAATAAAAAGGAATTGGAGCATGATATGCCTCAGGTCAGCTTCCCACATTTTAATTTTTATCATATTTGTATCATGTGACATTTTGGTGTTTAACATGACTCAGATTATTATATGTTAAGGTATGCAAAGACATATTACATAAATATAGATATGTTACAAATACATTAAAATGCATGTAATAGGAAATCAGTAAAGCAAAATAGTTAAATTTTTCATTTTGCCAATAGATAGCATAAAAATAATTGAAAAATCAATTTAATCATCTAAACCACTACCTCAAAGAAAAGTTGTTTAAAAAGTTATAGATGTGTTTCACCGCCTTTATCAGCACAAACTAAATAAGGCATTGGCTAAAAGTAAAAATAAACATAAGGAAAATTTATTTAAGAAAACAATTGAATATGGAAAGAGCTTATAAGTTGATGAGATGTCATAATGCTTTCATAAGAGAAATGAGCCACATAGTACATTGTTAAAAACCGACTGCTTCTGTCTAATCTTTTTCTAATTGTAAACACAAATGAGATTCTCCACAAACAGATTCTAGGCAAAAAGACTCTCAAATGAAAACACATCAAGGGATTTTCAATATAAGATTATAGAGCAGAAACAAATAGCATATACTTAAAATATTTGAACAATTTAATAGTTGTTAGTGAAATTTTTAAAATTATATTTTTAAAGAATTGAACATTTATTGAACAAATGCACAGTGACTGAACTAAGGGGTGCTTCCCTCCGAGGATAGCATAAACAGCCTCCACTGCCTGGCGGGCTCTTTCCAGAGTGAGACGTGTTCGCTGTGTCTCTAGCAGCAGAACCTGAACCGAAGGTGGGCGCAGCCAGGAGGCTGCAAAGCCTTCCGATGGCAAGGCTGCTTGGGTGGCATCGCCCCTCCCAGGACATGTCACATTTCCGTCTCTGCTGGCGGCCTGACAGCTTGTACTTCTCATGGATGCCTCAAGTCAACATTTTCGTGGCAAGCTTCCCATTGCTAGCAAGGGGCATGCTCATGCTATTAGAAAAGGAAAAATGACGTTACCAAGCAGCGTTCCTAAGGCAATGGTTTATTTGCTCTTGGCTGTTTTTCTGTCTCAGCAGTGAGTGCTTTCTGCATGGAGCGGGAGTCGCGGCCCTCAGCACCCCAGGGACTGGCTGAGAGGACGGTCCTCACAACCTAGCCACTGCACCAAGCGTCAGCAGCTGTGCAGACGCAGTGTGACATGTGCTGGGGCAGGGAGCAAACTGCTGGCAACATGATTCTACATGAAGCAAAACGCTCACTTGTGATCAATGTAAATGGCTTAAACTTATTGATCAAACGTCACAGATCAGTAGATCCGATTTAAGAAAAAAATGTATCTGTTTGTTGCCTACAGGAGACACATCTCACCAACAAAGATCGCAGAGGGCCCATGTGGTAGCCTAGTGGCTGAGTCCTTACCTTGAATATATGGGCACCGGTTCTAATCCTGGCAGCCCCACTTCCCATCCTGCTCACTGCTTGTGGCCTGGGAAGGCAGTAGCGAACGGCCCAAAGCCTTGGGACCCTGCACGCATGTGGGAGACCTGGAGGAGCTCCTGGCTTCGGATCTGCGGAGCTCTGGCCATTGCAGTCACCTGGGGAGTGACTCATCAGAGAGATCTTCCTTCCTTTCTCTCCTCTCTATATATCAGACTTTGCCATAAAAATAAATAACTCTTAAGAAAAAAAATCAGCAGAAACTATGTATCATAGAGTCTGATTTTTTGCTTACTTTCATCTCTTCAAAACACTTTCTTATTAAATTCTTCAATGAGTCATAGATCATGCAGTAACATAATTTGCTTCAAGAAGGGGCTTTATAATAACTGTGTAATGGAGACTATCATATCCAGATGTGAGGACACAGTGCAGTATGCATCTCTAATTCCAAAACGATAGACTCACAATGAAACTTTTTACTATAACTTTACAATAGGATGATGGACTTTATGCCGTGTCCATGGCCACAGTGATGGAGATATGACTGTTATGAAGAACTATACTATAGTAATAATACAGGGGAACTCAGTGGGAGGTGGGGATTGTGGAGGGGTTAAGGGAAATCGCATGGCCTATTGCATCTTGAAATGATAATAATCATAATCATAACCATAAAAAAATAAAATTTAAACAAAAAATATGAAAAAGCTCACTCTTGAGTCACTAGGAAATAAAAACTGCTACTACTGTCAGGCTCGACCCCATGGCTAACAAGCACAAAAGGAGAACTGTTGCCATGACGGCAGCATGCCTGAACACTGTACATTATCCATGTATTTGATCACACTCAGGAAGGAACGCCGAGGTGCTAAATCCAGCCAGTCAACTTACAAGCGTTTACATTCCTCATTGTGTCAGGATGTTGCAAGTGGACCTTGACCTTGGGGATGTGTTAGTTCTCCAAGACCTAAGGGTGATTCCTCAGTCTGGCTGGCTGCTGTATGTTTGTGACAGAGGCAGTGGGACGGGCTCTGATAAGAGAATACATTTGCTAAAAGAAACATCTAGGGCCCCTTCCAGGCAGCACCATCCTCGTGGTGGAGTCAGCTTGCCATCCTTGCTCCAGCAAACTCTTCACAGCCTCCGGCACACACAGACACACAAAATTGAAGTCATGGCCAGCTAGGGAGGTGTACATGTGGGAGACCGAGGCCAGGCCTTGCATTCTCGTGGCTTCTCACAGAGTCTCCATCGTGGGCTGCACAGCCTCTGACCACTGATCTGCACCAATGGTGGTGTAGATCCTGGGGAAACCCTTCTTCCAGATGTGCTGTCCCACTGCCCAGATGCCTCCGAGCTCAGCATTTGCAGACTTAATAGCAGGTGGCATTCTTTTCCAAAGGTATCCTGCATTATTCAGGTCACTATGCAGCAAATACAAGCCCCGGCACTGGACATACACACGAAGCATGGCAATCCCTCTGGGAGCATCAAGCTGCTGGTGCTCACACTGATCCAGCATCTTTTTGAAACTGAAAGCACCTCTGTCAACAGAGCTAACAGCATCTTCCTGATTGGTCCCGTTGTCACACCTCCCAGGCCACTGAAACCTAGAGTGGCTCTCCAAATTTTTTAATTATTAACTTCTGTATTCCAGTCTCCTGTTTTTATTCAATTGAAATCATTTATCAAATATAGTTCTAGAATAAGCCTTAGCATAAATTTGAAAAGCAAAAGTAATATAGATACATTTCTTTAACAAAAACACTCTAACTTTATGTAGGTTAAATAAATTACAAAATTTGAAACAGCAAAATAAAACAACCTCATAGTAAATGAACATACAATGAACAATTTATAGAAACTTAACCAGGGCTGTCAATAATTTTGATATTCTACTTTTACATTTTCAACAGCTTTTAAATTTTCTTCATTATTAGCATAGATTTATTCTCTATAACTTAATTGTAATAAACTGCTTACTTTGTCCTAAATCCAAAATTATTAACTGGCCATATCTTAAATTAATCAAATATCGTGAAAATGAATTTTTTTGGAAAAAGGTAATTTTATTAAACACACACACACACACATTGACTTCTAAGACAATTGCCAGTATTTGTTTCATCACATTAAATATTTTACATCTATCTGTTAATTATTAGGACCAGTAACTGAAATTCATAACATGCATATGGGGAAAATGAGGGTCAGTTTTTCTGTGACTTATGAAAGGTTATAACCTAAGTATGTAGAAGAGCTGGAATCTGAATCCTGGGATGACAGATTATAAAACAACGGCACAAAACGTGTGATTTTTGCCCTTGCTGTGTATTACTTGGGTGGCTTCTGAAACTGTGCAATAAATGTAGCTCTCTCAGATATTGAAACACTCTAAAATTTATCCTATGGCTTCCTTAACACATCAGTTACACTTATATATGTCTGCACACATATATTTTTGTGTACATATGCATTTAACACACATTTCAAAACTTTCTAATGTAATGTGGACACCTGTAAACTCACTTCTCGATATGTTCCAGACCATGCTTAGTCAATCAAGGGCTTTCATTGTCTTCAGAAGCAGGAAAATTCTCAAATCTGAACCAAGTGAGGATGAGTTTGACTTCAATTCATTGCTGTTTTAATTACATGGAGGTATCTTTCTTGTGCATGACCCGAAGAAGAGCGTTCTTAACTTCTTTGTTCCGTAGACTATAAATAAGTGGATTGAGCATGGGGATCACAATCGTATAAAAAACAGAAGCCACTTGATCCTTTCCCAAGGAGTAGGACTTACTCGGTTTTAAATAAGTAAAAATCATAGTGCCATAAAATACAGTGACTCCCAGGAGATGGGAGGCACAGGTAGAGAAAGCTTTTTTCTTTCCAGAAGTGGAATTAATTTTCAGGATAGTAGAGAGGATGGACGCATAGGACACAGCTATTGTGATAAGGGACACCATTAAAGTGGAAACGGCACAAGTGAATATGATGATTTCGGTCTCATGTGTGTCAGTGCAGGACAGGGCTAGAATTGGGAATGTGTCACAGAAAAAGTGACGGATGACATTGGAGTCACAGAAGTGCAGTTTGCTCATGAAAAGCACGGAGAAAGAGGAATCTATAAAACCAATCAAGTAGGACACAGCGACAAGGGCATGGCAGACTCTTGGGGACATAATAAGTGGGTAGTGTAATGGGTTGCAGATCGCGACATAGCGATCAACAGCCATGGAGGAAAGGAGAAAACATTCCGTAGCAGCCAAGAGGATAAAAAAGTATGTTTGGGTGAAGCAACCTATGAATGAAATGTGAGTGTTAGAAGTCTGTAAGTTCTGTAAAGTTTTTGGCGTGATGACATTTGAGTAACTGAGGTCCAAAAATGACAGGTGAGAGAGGAAAAAATACATGGGGGTGTGAAGTTGCGGGTCCAGCTGGATTATCAATGTCATCCCTACGTTTCCCAGCATCGTCATCAAGTAGATAAGCAGAAATAACACAAAGAGGACCAGCTGGATCTCTCCTGCATCTGTCAACCCCATAAGGAGGAAGTCAGGCACATTTGTGTTATTTCTTCTCATAATTTTCCACTGCTAAAAGCTGTGAAGAAATAAAGTTCACACTTAGGAGGAACTACTTTTAAAAAGTGTTTTCTTTGTAACAGTGATGCTGTTTGGCATATTCTATAAACTTCAAACAATAAAGAGAGATTTTTCTATTCTGTGTACAGAGAAAAAGCTTAGTTCTGTCATGAAACACAGAGAATGTGTGACAGCTGGTATTTGTAGTAATACATGAAAAGCATCAATGCATAATTAGAATGAACTATTGCATTCTTTGAAACAATTCCCTTATTAAAATCCCAAAATATAATACTAATTTAAGATTGTTATTGTATTCCAAATTTCTCTGTTTTTATGTAAGAGCATAGAAAGCAGAAGCATCTCAGAGTAATGGAAATGACTGTTCTAAGAGAGCTTAATTCAAGACAGTTTGTTAATAATTCTAGCTTCACGTAGATCATTAATTTAAATTGAGGGGAGTAGTGAAGTGTGATTACTTTCTTGGAACTCTAGCTACAGTGCACAAAAGTTATGCTCTACATTAATAAAATACAATGAGGCAATGAAAATAATCTCAGCAAATCTGATAAAATAATTTAAATGTAATAGAGAATAGCTAAAACTCGTTAAATCCATCATATATCTTCATTTCTGGTCATATGTTACTTATTAAAATCAAATTCATAGTCAATACTTAAGTCTTATGCATTCTGGTTTTTAACATATGTAAGTATTCATTTCTAAAAGATATTATGTCTGCTAATTCATCTCATTCAAAATGAAATATCTTCCCAAAATAAACATTACTTGCAAAATCTGCTTCTACCAACTGTAAGTTTTTGATTCTCAAATTTTGAGACTATTTACCCTAAGAACTAAACAATACATATATGCAGATTATGTCTTCATTTTTTTAAATATGTAAGCCAAAATTAATAAATGTGAAATAATACTTACTGTGAGTCAATGATGCAGAGAAAATTTTTCCAATCTTCTCTGATTTCTAAAAAAAGTAATAACATGTTAAAGTCATTTAGGACATTGAGAATTCCATATGTGTGTGTGTGTGTGTATTCTATTTTTTCTGATAATAAAATCTTAACATTTTTTGTGTAAAACCCATTGTATTTTGTTCTAGTTAAAATAAATCCATCTAAAAGTTTTGCATGCAAGCCTAAAACCTAAAAGCTTGAATATACAATCGGAAAATTTTACAATGAGTTATTTCTCAAGCAAAGTGGCAAGATCTCCTCGAATGGATGCAGAATACAGGATGCCTTGCCTCTCCTTTAAATAATTCTAGTGAGCTCAGCTGATCATGCAACACTTGGTCATCCTCAGAGGTCAGAATTCAAGGAACAGTGCTTGGCATCTTTCCAAGGACAAAAACGTCTGTATTAAATTAACTCATGTTAGGTGTTGAATTATTTATTTAATGGTTTACTTGTTTGTTTACTTTTACTTGTAGCAGGTACCAAAGGAAAGAAAATGTATAGCTCACTCTTCTTTTGCATCTCTTCCCATTTGCTTTTTTTTTTTCAAATTTTTATTATCATTTTATGATTCTGCAGGCATAGGTTCTCTTCCCTCTCCCTGCACCACCATCCCCTTCTCTCTGCTTCCTTTTCAACGCACACACACTAGTTAACTGATTTTGTGCTGGTGTGCTGTTAATGAATTCATAAATTGTGTAATGATCAAGTCAACAACTTGTCAGCTAGGATCAGGTTTTCTACTCTGTGATTAGCATCAACAAGATGGGAATGATATCATTTCATAAAGAAATATTTTTAGATTGAAATGTGTGATACCCTCACAGGAATAAACTTCATGTAGAAGCAAATGAAAGAATTTAAGGTCCAGGGAATATAATGAAAGTAATTTCAAATTGCTGTTAATATTTTGTTAACTAAACTGTAATTCTTCCTAATTATTTCATTTTGCATCTACAATGAGTATTGATGTGATAATAACTCACAAACTATTAAATTGTCTATATAATATCAGTTGCTCATATAATGACATATTTGTGTAAATGTTTTGTCATCAATTCAGTCATAAGCTCTCATCTTCTGTATGTAAGCCACCGAAATATTTTTGTAAAAATTATTGATAAGAAAATAGGAAATATTGCTGAAATATTAAATTGAGTATTATTATCAAACATGGAAAATAAATTATTCTAGTGATTTGAATGATGTATTTTGCAATTATATAATTATTACATTTCTGGTTCTTTATCCCAGCTTTTTTTTTGTTTGTTTGTTTTTACTATTATTTGTTACTAACTTAAGATTCCTTCAATCGGTCTAGCAGCTGAAATGTCGGCTCAGATGTCTATCAGTTTTCAAAGTTGTAGTAATTTGGTTCAATCCCTGGGATGACTCCTAATTACACCTCTCTCCTGTTGTGGATCCCAGGATGCTGGAGACTATTAGTGAGAGGCTTGTCACCTGCTTGGATGCCCGAGTTGAGGTGTGAGCTCCTGAGGGTGGCCTGAACTACCCTTGCTCACTGCAGGCATTCGGGAAGAGACTCAGGAAAGTAGAGCTGTGTGTTTCTGTCTGTCCCTCTGTGGGTATCTCTGTCTCTGCTTTCCAAATAAAATTGCTAGACTTTGGTGCTTTAGATATTAATTTTAAATTGTATTGGGTTGTGCTTATGAAATATAATTCTTTTAAATTAGACTTCATATACTTATCAACATTGATGAAGTTTTGCATTCATCAGGGCTCAGTGATTCATATTCTGAGGAAGAAAAACACAGAGGTTGATCTACAAGCATGGTCTTTCTAACTACACTATTGATACATCGTAAATTTTCACTAGGGAGAAATACACAAAATTTAAAATATAGTATAAACATTAGTGATATATCATTAATGATACTTCATTAGTGATATATCATTAATCATTAGAGGATGAAATGTACTAATAAAAAACAAAGCTGTTTGGAGTTGGTTTAGTGGCTCAATAAGCGAATCCCCTAAATGTGGTACTGGCATTTTCCATGGGCATCCAGTTGTGTCCTAGCTGCTCCAATGCCAATCCAGCTCCCTGTTTGTAGCCTGGTAAAGCAGTGAAGATGGCCGAAGCTCCCTGATTGGGAGCTCTGGAAGAAGTTCTTGGGTTCAAGTTTTAGATCAGCTCAGCTCTGGCCTTTATGACCCTTTGGAGAGTGAATCCATGATTGGGGGGCCTCTCTGTAACTCTGATCTTCAAATAAAGAAATTCTTTTAAAGAAGTAGCAACCAGGACATAGCATATGTAGGAGTAGCGGATGAGGAATGGGGACTTAAGGATAAGGATGAAATAAGGAGTACAAGATACATGTCAAAGCAAGACACCTTCTGGAAAAAAGTAGTGTTTCACAATATGTATTTTCCACAAAAATGAAAAAGACTTTCCCAGTGGCATGTGATTTTAAAATGCTTTCATTTTTCATGGAATTTAATTATATATGAGTTTAACTGAATCAGCATGATAGCAATAATGAATTTTAATTAAACTTATATTCTTTTCATTTATTTGTTAGATTTTTTAAATTCAGGTGTTTCTGATTTAGTTGTTGTAACAAACCACATTAAGATTCATCTTTTAAATTTTTTATAGAAAAGATACAAAAAAAAAAGTGGATAATACACGTTGGAAAAGTAAAATGGTTAATTAAAATATTATCAAAGTTTCACACTATTCACAGCCCAATGCAGCAGTGCTACTTTAGAGAGAATGCCTTTTCTCATGAGGAAAGGGAACATTGTCACGCGTGAAGTCCCTGCCTGAGAAACTTCCCTAACAGTGAGGGAGAGCAAGGGTCCTGGGAGAGCAAGGCAGAGCAGGTGGTGGGATAAATGGCAAGTCCACTCTTAAAAGATTAAAGTTGGTAGAGAGAGTGCAGACAGGAACTAAAAGAGAGACTGGCAGGGGGAATATCAGAGGTCAATGAGGAGTGCATGGAAAACTCTTGTGTGAATACTCAATTGGGCCTTTACGTACACATCTACTGCTTCTTCAAATGAATGAGAAGGCTTTAGTTTATTATGCTTCCAAAACAGAATGAGAAAACAATGCTGATACATATTCCATGTAAAATAAGTAAAAATATATGTAATTAAAATCAAGATAGAGATAAGGAATGAAAGCCATGGCCATGACATTACACACATTGATAAACGAAACATTAAAGTTGGATTGCACCAATGAAAATGATCTCAAAGAAAAAGAACAGAAAATAATTAATCATTCTGAATATTCTCAATTCAGATGATGAGGAGTCAGAACAATCAATCTTATTAGCTACTGTGAAAGAAAAATAAAAAAAGAAAATAAAGAATGTATGTAGCCTTCATAAAAGCAAATGTGTGATGAGGCCGAGTTTAATCACTCTTGTGAATAATGCATTAGCATGCTTTGCTTCGTTGGTTCTCTCTTGCATCATTTCTAATATAAGATAATTAATTATGAGGTTAAGCTTGCAAGAGGCAGACTATAAAAGAAGGAAGAAAATAAAGCAGGCATATACATGTGTACATACATATATATGCGCATGTGTATCATTGACTCACTCCCAGAGACATTAGCTTGAAGTGCAAGGGGAGGGGAAGTTGTAATCAACATTCAGTATCAGAATAATGTTGAAATACACACAACGTCACAATGGAACAATTTACCAAAGAATCTAGATATCTCATAGAAAGGGGTGGTTTTCAGATGTGTACCTGCTACATGCAAATAGCCTTCCTTACATACAAATAATTAACTCAGTGTGTTCAACTCTTAGGTTTGAAAGTTTGCAAAAGGAATGAGTGTGCCCATGTGCCAAGAATGTAATTAAGCTGTAGCTTTGTTTGTCAGGAATGATCAAACTTTGAATGTGTTAGTAGGTGCACAAAGACGAAAAACAGTACTTACAGAATGACAGGAAATGTTTATGCAATATATTTGCCTTCAAAATAATACTTCTAGAAGAACATGTACAAAAGGATCAATGGTTTTTGCTTTCTATTTTAATTTTTAAGTATTTCTTCAGATTTTTTTTTTGTCAACATTAGCAGAGCTGGTTTGCAGTTTTTCAATTCTTAATTCTATTGATGGATGGATGTGATGCCTCAATTGCTAAATTCTCATCTTGTAAGTATCAACATTCCATTAAGTCCAGATTTGTGTCCAGGCTGCTCCACTTCCAATTCAGCTCCCGGCTTATGCACTGGGACAGCAACACAGACTCCTCAAAGCCTTGGTCCCTGTACCTGTTGGGAGACCCAGAAGAAACTTCTGGCTCCTGACTTTGAATCGGCTCAGCTCTGCCCTTGGCAGCCATTTGGGGGAGTGAACCAGCACATGGGAAATCTATCTCTCTGTCTCTGCTTCTTTCCATAAATCTGAATCTCCTTCCCCTCCCGCTAAATAAGCAATATTAAAAAAAAAAGTTCTATTTCACTATTTTGTATTAAAATCAAAACTGTCAATTTTCACCTTTAAATTTGTTTTTCAGTAAAACTAATTCAAAATGATCTGCAAAAATACACTTCCCAAAAAAGTCATTTTTCAGTAAAATGATATAGGAATGTAAAATTTTAAGACAATCATAGTTTTTCATTATTGCTACCTTGAATACATCTGCCCTCTAAACATGTGGTATATAACAGAGGAAAATGAGACTGAAATATTTAGTGACTGAGTAAAGCTTGTACAGCTGCCAGTGCGGAAGGACTAGAGTCCACACATGAAATGCATGATAATAGAACAAATTCTCCTAAGCTCTGTCTCATTTGTTCACACACTAAAGAAGAGTTTCTGAAACGGTTATGGTACCTAAGATGTACCAATCTTTTATAATCAAATTCTCTAAAATCAATGTATGCATGATAAATATGGGATTTCATTTTAAAAGAGAAAATTGCCTGTCACTTTTATGTAATTTCCTACATCACCTTAAATTTAAACCATATATATGTGTGTATATATATACATACACATATGTGTATTTATATGTGAGTGTGTGAAAATATATTTACATTACAAATAAATTTCTCACAACATATTCCTGGAGACAATGCCAACAAAGGAATTCTTCCACAGAACTATAAATTAAGGGCTTGCAATTGTTCCTACATGTCCAAGGCAATATTCAACAATAAATAAAATTAAAATAATGAAGTAACAGTTAAGAATAAAATTGACCATGATGAAATAAAAGCAGTGAAGTGTCAATTGCATGTTCAGCCTAAGGGCAATTTCACCTGCTTCGTCGTGTTTTCCTTCTGCATAATTCTGACAGCAGCATTTTTTACTTCTTTATTTCTAAGACTGTAAATGAGTGGATTAAGCATGGGATTCACAATTGTATAAAAGACAGAAGCCACTTGATCCTTTCCCAAGGAGTAGGACTTTCTGGGTTTTAAATAAGTAAAAATCATAGAGCCATAAAACAGAGTGACTCCCAGGAGATGGGAGGCACAGGTAGAGAAGGCTTTTTTCTTTCCTGAAGTGGAATTAATTTTCAAGATAGAAGACAGAATAAAGATATAAGACACAGCTATTGTGATAAGCGACACCGTTAAGGTAGAGCCAGCAATAATGAATATGGCAGTTTCAGTGTCGTATGTGTCAGTGCAGGACAGGGCTAGCATAGGGGATGTGTCACAGAAGAAGTGGCGGATGACATTGGAGTCACAGAAGTGCAGTCTGCTCATGCACAGAGCATTGGCAGAGGAATCCATAAAGCCAATCACATAGCACACAGTGACAAGGGCGCAGCAGAGTCTTGGGGACATAGTGAGTGAATAGTGCAGAGGGTTGCAGATCGCTACATAGCGGTCATAGGCCATGGAGGAGAGGAGGAAACACTCAGCAGTACCCAGGAAGACAAAAAAGAACAACTGGATGAAGCAGCCTAAGAAAGAAATAGACTTAGTGGAAGTCAGCAGGTTCTCCAGGGTTTTGGGTGTGATGACAGCTGAGTACGTGAGGTCCAGAAACGACAGGTGAGAGAGGAAAAAGTACATGGGGGTGTGCAGGTGGGGATCGAGGCGGATGATCAGCATCATGCCTACATTCCCCAGCACAGTGACCAGGTAGATCAGCAGAAACAGCACAGAGAGGACCAGCTGCAGCTCCGCAGACTCTGTCAACCCCGCAAGGATGAACTCAGGCACGTTTGTATGATTTCTTCTACTCATGTTGTCCAATGATATGAGCTGTTAAGAAATCAAAATATACACACAGGAGGAATTAAAGCGATTTTGTTTTCAAGTGTGACCCTTTGTACATAATTATCTTTAAAAATCATTACTGAAAGGTAGCTTACAATACTTATTCAAAATATTAAATGTGGTTATCAACTATGTACATACAAACTGATAGCTGGATTTTATATAATAAAAGGTCTATTGCATTAATAAGTCAAGCACTGTCACTGCTTAAATACTTTTTATATTAACACAATCATTGTTTCTAAAAATATTGTCATAGTAATTGCAAAACTCTTTTATCCATATTTTAATATGGTAAAAGAGCACAGAAAACTTAATTCATATGGAGTAAGAGCTATGAATTGTCCAACGTGTATTTCTCTGATAGATTGTTCCCAGAAAGTCAATTCACAATACTATAACTTGTTACAGAAAATGTGACATAATCATCATGATCAATAACAGAAATGATTTGCTGTTTTATCATTATCAGTTACTCTCTTTGGTTTCTAATTACGTTCACACTACTAATTTAAATTTTATAATATAGAGCAATACTGGGATTGATCAATGATAGTAATAATAATATACCAGTATTGATTCTTGACTTAAGATGATTTCCCAAGCCTGACACATTCAAAAGCCTTTTCTTCCAAAATGACTTGAAAATGTAAACATTGCTTGCAGATCCTGATTTGTTCAATCCCATATTTCTGGTTCCACACACCCTGACAGTATCACAGAACATGGAAAATGACATGTGCATTCTTGAATGTTTTCTAGGGAAAGATCATTTTTCTTATCCTGAGTCAAATTCCACAAACTCCTGGATTGATACTTACTGTGAGCCAGAGGAGTTGAACTAGTTTCTTGTAATCTTATCAGCCTTTGGAATCAGTCCATTTCAATTGTTTAACAAATAAAATGTGAAAAACATTTGGAAGAAGTTGAAAATCTGTTCAGTAAACTATTTTTCTTCTTGTATATATATATATATTTTACATTTGAATGCATTCATTGTGAAATGAAATAAATTAAGCCTAATGTGTCTAAATGTCCTGGACAAGTGGAAAATTTAATAGAAATATGTACAAGAAAGATGCAGGGATCTATTGTGAATATGTACCTAGCAGAGGTCACCTCTCCTGTCCCTGGATAATTTCACAGGCCCAACGACTGATAATGATGCAATACATCATTGTCCTAAGAGACCCGATTCCAAGCAAGATTACTTGGCATTATTTCAAGGACCAATGTCAAGGATTAAATGAAGCCATGCTATATTTTGAGCAAATATTTGCTGTTCCCTGCGGCAGCCACCAAATTCAGAGTAACAGATGACTTGGTTTTTGGCGATGTTTTCGACTTGCTTTTTAATTGACACATGTGATTAGACCAATGTGTGGGGTACATGTGGAATTTGCATGTAAATGTATTGCACGATTACCAAGTCAGAAAATTTGCAGCGAGGGTGGTTAAACTGTTCTTGCTGAGACACTTCTCCACTGCAGGATTGACAGAATCAAGACTCAGAAGAGAACTTTCCATAAACATATTTTAAATGATTAAATGTCCAACTAGCACAAGGATACCATTGGTTCAAAGAAAAATGCCAAATAAAAATGAAATGACAATTCCATATTGATATTTATATTTTGCTGAAAATTTCATTTTTCTTAATTATTTCATTGCGTGCATATGATAGTATTTTCATATAGTAGCAGTTTAGTATAATAGTGTTTATTTACCATCTCATCTTCATTTTAAGCACAAAACTTTATAACATGCCATTTTATATAACATTTTTATTATTATTATTTTCATATAATCTTATATAAGCACCAGAATTTTGTCTATTACATGATAGCTAATGTCTCATAATTAACTGAACTGGATGTTGACCAGCTCATACCTCTTGTTAGCCTTTAAAGAATATGCACTTTTTAAAATATACAACTTAACCCAGTTGACATATATGCAATATTTGTATGGTATATTTTGCTATTTTAGTGGTCTTATTTATTTTATATATGGTAAATAACACTTTCACATAATTCTTCTGAATGTCACTATTTCTATGTACATTACATATACAGTCTGAAACTGTCTTATCTGTCTTTATTTGGTCAATTATTAAGAACTGTTAAATTTTAAAATTTTGAGTGTAATGATTCTTTTGTGCAGGTGTTTATCTTGCAGTTAGGATGCCAGCTAGGATTTTCATAATTAATGTTGAAGTCTTTGGGCTCAGTTCCCAGACTGAGCTTCTGATCCCCAGATTTCTCCACTTGTAGACACCATGAGGCAATGGCAAGGGCCAAGCACGAGTGTCTGCTACCCCCATGGGTAACTCACAGTAAGTTCTGAGTTCCCAGCTTCAGTGTGACACAACTGTGTCCCTTGTGGGCATTTGGAAAGACAAAAAAAAGCCAATGGAAATAGTGTCTGTTTATCTGTTTCTCTATGAAATAATGATTTTTTCAAATTATGCTTTAAGTAGCAATTTTAAATTACATTGGCTTGAAGTCAGAAAACATGACTCCATTACTTTAATAAAAGTGTGAAGTTCATGAATCATTTGTAATCAAATTAGATAAATGGTGACTCAGAGAGAAAGTCAAATGTTAAGATACAAGTCTGTTCTTATCAAACCTTGATGCATGGTTTATAAATTCTCAACAAGGAGGAAGGTAAAATACAAATATTATGATGTGTTATGCTAGCAGATATGAAATGTACTATTTTAAATAATGAAAATGTAACAAAACATACCAGATCTGGACAGAGTGGCTCAGGATCGGGTCACAGGGATCTAACGAGAAATAGTGAGGTCAATGTAGACTTCATTGAACTCTGGACAATTTACAAAGGTGAAGGAGGAGAAAGTTAGCCATGCCAACACACAGGAGGAACATGTTCAAGACTGGAACAACACTGGTGAGAAGACTTGTGCAGAAAATGGGTTGCACAGTACGAGGAAGAACGGGAACAATATTTATATTTAAGGATGTGACGGTGTAGAGTTGGTAAAGTTTCATGGATGAAACACAAGGAAGAGTTTTTATAGATGAAAAAAAGAGTCTTTACACACTGAAGGAAATGTCTATTCTCCCTCAACCAGACCCAGATAATGAGCATGTGAAAGCACTACAAGGCGGCCGATGTCCTTGAGCCTTGCTACTCAGGTGAGGAACTGATAAGATCTTTCTGATTCTTGGTTTTGCTTATTTGCACCAAAGCCATTGAGACTATCTGGGGAGAGAACTGGCGGATGGGTGAGCTCTCACTGTGTAATTCTGATTTTCAAATATGTGAAATTGTAAAGTATATGGAAAATGATATTCAATTTATTGCATTCAAAATTTGGGGAATCCATAGGCATTTGTTCATACTGTAGGTTTAAATGTGACATTTTCAAGCGAGGGAAGAAACCTGCCCCACTCCCAAACACCTGAGTATTTTAAGACATAGGTTCTTCCTTACCCCCAACTCATTTGGGAACCCGCTTCAAGACCCGGGTCCTGGGCCCACAGCAGGCCCAGTGCGCAAGCACAGTTTCCAGCCCGGCGCCAAGCCGGCGGACATGTGTTAAAGAACTTTTCCAACAAAGAAATGTTGACTACTTAAGTACCTTCACTCAAGTAATCAGTTAATTAACCATCAAAATAATGCAACAGTATCAAATAAGAAAAGGAAGAAAAAAAAGAAGAAAGAAAAATGACGACGGTGTCCTATTCCACAGCTGGTAATAGCTGTGAGAGCAAGAAGTAATCTTTGGGCCCGGCGGCGGCGCAGTGGTTAAGGTCCTCACCTTGCACGCCCAGGATCCCATATGGGCGCCGGTTCTAGCCCGGCAGCCCCACTTCCCTTCCAGCTCCCTGCCTGTGCCCCGGGAAAGCAGTTGAGGATGGCCCAAAGCTTTGGGACCCTGCAACCATGTGGGAGACCCGGAAGAGGCTCCTGGCTTCGGATCGGCATAGCATTGGCCGTTGCACTCACTTGGGGAGTGAATCATCGGATGGAAGATCTTCCTCTCTGTCTCTCCTCTCTGTATATCTGCCTTTCCAATAAGAAAATAATAAAAATAAGTCTTTAAAAAAAAAGAAGTAATCTTTGTGCTTTCAGATAAGGAGATTAAAGTTCCTAAAATATCCGAGTGGCTGTTATCAAATTTCACATGGCAGCTGACCGGAAGCAATCAGATGTCAAGTCTGAGTGAATGCGAGCTAGGTCCTGCTGAGTACACCTGGGGACATTTTTGGAGCAACCTGAAACATCTCTACAATCATTTTGTTTTTGCCTGTTTTTTTAGTTGAAAGTTTAACCGACATAAAATTGTGCTTATTTATGGGGTGGGTAGTTTGCTGCATGCATAAGCTGTCGCATGCGTTATCAGAGTCAATATCCTTTCAGGTATTTAACATTTCTTTGTAGTGGAAGAATTGGGGCTTCTAGTTTGATAATAGAGAAATGCGCAGTTCAGTGATCTGCTGTGTGTCCGGAGCCCAGAGTCGGTTACTACTGGATAACTCTGCCTGATGCCAGTTAGCAAAGTGAAATCCTGCGACCCCTCCCTTTGTCCAATAGTGGAACTCTCTCACTAACTTTAGTTTCTGATATTCATAAAAAGACAATAGCTAACACCATCATGAAATAGTGGCATGGAGACTCTTATTTTTAAAATGCAAAGAGAACGTCTTCCATTTTGTCCTCTCCCTTGTCTCATTCTTGTTGAAATCTGCTATTATGTTATTCCGCAAAGTAAATAAGCTTGATAGTTTCTAGAAGAGAATAAGGTAAGGCATCTCGATTACGATGAAAGTCGTGGTAACTTCCCTTCCTAAAGTGATTTTGTAAGCTTTGCTAATTACGATTGTCTGTGGGCATGTGACATCTTCTTGTCCAGACATATGGCAACAGAAAGAAATGGCAAGTCCTTCACCTATGCTTGTCCATTTGTTTTGTTATGGGGGAATAAATCCTTCACT